TTTCAGCGCTACTATATATATTTATATATACATTTCGAAATTCAGCGCTTTGATGTGACTAGATGTCCCGCACCATACTCGCGGCTAAACGCGAATATAATAGAACAGTATTAAATTACTATATTTTTGTATTTTTACAATTTTTACTATCAATATTTCAACCACCATATCAAGTTCACAGGGTGTTAATCAAAAATACTTTGATATATATAAAGTATAGGATTTAAGTATATAGAATGGTGAATATAGTTTGTAGTAAATTAAATTATTGGAAAAGCCTCTAGGATATAAGTTCTACGTACAGTAACTCGTGTAAAGATGATTTAGGTCAAGTAGACTTATCAAGCAGGAATTTATAAGGAGATATGTATGCATGCATACATGCACAATGATTTTTGCTTAAACATATGATATTTAATATCGACTAAATTTTTTGTTCCTGACACAATATGTGGATTTTTACTATCAAATTTGTTAAATTCAGTGATTATTAATAAGCATTTGACCATCCTTTTTATTATAAACCATCTATATTTTAATTATTAAGTTCAATCTCCGTTGCTGGACTTAAATCTGGAGATTTCATAAGGATGAAAGCTTTCTTCAATTCCAAGGGCATGTAGTAAAATAATACGATATAACAAATAACGCAAACTCGGAGAGTTAAGTACGCACGTACGTTTACAATAAATAAAAAAAAGATTACCTATGATCAAGTTAATAAAATTGTTTAGTCTAAATTTTTCAAGTTTATAGAATTAAACTAGGCTTATCCTAACGCAAAAAAAAGGAACTGTGTTAACATCTAAACATCGAAAGGATTCATTTATAAAAGATAAATTTTGTGACGAATAAATCTTGTTAACTGTACGTACGTACTATCTAAATTTTTCGAAATCAGTTCTAACGTACAGTACTATTTTACTTAATACCTCAGCTCCAGCAAATTATATATATATATGAGTGGGAAACTAAGAGTCTTAATCTTCACAGAATCGATATTTTATTATACATAATTTAAATTTTACACACGCCGTCTTCACATTCTTTTCCACCTTCTTTCTTAATATCTCTTGGAAGCTCTAAATCTTGATACCTTTCTCTAACCAAACTAACAAAATTTGAATATCCACCAATAAATTTATATTCTTTTGGGTTACAACCTTCATATATAAATGGTGATGAAGTGTGATTGTTTGAGTTCGAGATCCTCTATTAATAAATTAGAATAATGATAGTTGACATATTGTTGAAAAGAATAATAATGAAATTTAGCAAAATAAAAGCTTACAGATTGTAAGTATTTTACTCTATTACTCCACTATTATATTCACCCAAAAAAACGAATTTAATTAATAAAAAAAAATTCTTTTTCAATATTAAAAAAATTTAATAAAATATTTGACATATCATCAAACCTTCTCTTTTTCATGAACTGATACATTAATATTCACTGTTGATATATTTCTATCTTTAGAATTAACTTTGGATTGTTTTAGTTTGTTACCCACATCGATTGCAGAATTTAAGTATGAACAATTAATAAAACCTTCCTATATTAATTTTAAAAAATTTTTTAACTGTTTAAAAAAAAACAAAAGGGGGGAATTATTATATTACTTACGATATGATAACAAAGAGAATTTTCGCCAAAGGGGCTATTATGGTCTGACTTTCTTGAAAAAACGTCCATCATAAAATTTATAAAAGGAAAAAATATAAATTATATAAATATATATATATATATTACGTTAAATTGTTCAAGGTAGATCAATGCCTAGTTTAGCATTTTAATCACACATTACCGTTACCTGTCATTTTCATTCGTAAGGAAAATAATGACGATAATAATGCCAAATTTTGTTTGAGCGTATGCGAATCCTGTATATGTTGTTCCAAAGTCTTATTTCAATAAATATATAGGATTGTGACTAGGGATAATTTATTCTATTTTGGATTTTGGCGGGATTTTGTAAAATAGAGGTCGAAAGCTAATGAAAGACAGATATTTATAGTATAAGTTATATCGGAAAAATAGATTCATAAAAAAAATTTGCGTAGAGAAGTGTGCAAGATAATTGCCAGTCAAATTTCCAAAAAAAAAATCTGTATAATGAATTGTATGACTGTAAATATATAAAAGTAATTTTACTCTTTAACGTTAAGCGAGAATGCCGCGCCCCTTGATCTGCATTGCATTGAACCTTACGTCAATTTAATTAATTTATATGCTACACGTACTATTTAGCTATTACCATTCTCACGTGAAATTATTCTTACCTTGCCGTTCTGTCATAATATTGCAAGTTTACTATTATTTCCCATCCGAAGAATCAACTCCCTTACTGTCTGAACGATTGGATCCAAAAATATCCAAGATTAAGCCAATCTGGGAATTTTAAGTGGATTCGTGTTATCGCTTATTGTTTCTCAACAAATCATTATTAATATGGATATCCCATATTGATCCAAGGTGATAGCAATGTGCAACAGCATATGAAATTGCTACCTTAAATTTTGGAAATACTCTATCGAAGTGTTTTTTTTTAAAAAAAAAATTGTATGATGAATTATCGTTCCTATATCTCATGTTTTTACATTAATTTAGTTGGTTTGAGAATTCCGCAAATTATTCAAAATTACAAGTCAAAATCTACTGAAGGATTATCATTGGGCAAGTTCTGTTTGTGTTTTACTTTTTGCTTAGTAAATTATGTGAAATTTCTTTTTTTTGAACTTTAAATAACAATTTTTCAACAACCAACTAACCGAATTTGATGGATTTTAATTCTATGAGTTCATAAAATTAAAATAAAAAATTTTGAATTTGAATAGCTAGTTGTTGAGAAATATTCATTAAAAGCTAAAAAAAGTGGCCGCAACTTCTTTTTTAAAGACATCAAACCTTGAACAAAGATTACTCGGCACTTACCTAGTCAAATTTTTTTTATTTTAATTCTACATGCATATCGAATTAAAATAAAAAAAAATGACCAAATTTGATTAGGTAAATGACGAATAATCTTCGTTCAAACTTTAGACACCTTAAAAAAGAAGTTGCGGCCAAATTTTTTTTAATTTTAATGAATATTCCTCGATAACCTGCTATCCAAATTCGATTAGGTCAAAAACAATAAACTCACCTTTGCGCAGATAATTCTCACGTGATGTTATTTTTGTGCATCAATCACATGTAAGAGATAAAAGATAGGCTATCAGGTTTTCTCTATTGTTCGTGAAAAATGTCTTCATTGTTCGGCCTCGTTGTGAGGCTTTCTCGGCCTGCACCACGTATTTTCCGGCCGGTGGCCCTTTTCTCGTCTGCTTCTACATTATTTGACAAAGAGCTTTCGAGGTCACGAGAGTTAGTTAAGGAAATGCTTAGAGAAAAGGGTTACCTATAATTAACACTTCAGGACGTACTTTTAAAAGTGGAGATCTTAAGGCGCTTAACGTGAGCTTCAAATCTGCCGGATGCAATAATCAAATCGTTCCTGATTTTGATGGTAAATACCTATATTAGTTTTTTTCTTAGCAAAGTACTGCAATTCAAATATTGTTTAGTTAAAGACTTGCTACCTGAACAACATATCCTCCCCGATATATATCTTGATGAGCTTGAGAAACGAAGTTTCGATGTCA